ACTCTCCTATCATTAAGTATGATTTTAGCTATAAGTTTAACATAGATACTTTTATTTAGGTTAAGGAAATTCGTTTCTGTTCCTAGGATGCTGATCACTTTTAATTACAAATAGATGTTCAATTTTCTTGAAAGCTTTTTTGTGTCAATTGATGTGATCATATAGTTTTGCTAATGATTAATTTTTGAATATTAACCAGCTTTGCATTTCTGGGCTAAAGCCCACTTGATATGAAATGTTACCCTTTTATGTGTTACTGGATTTTATTAGTTAATATATTGTTAAGAATTTTTGCTTAATGAGAGACAGTCATTAGTTTTCTTGGAATGACTTTGTCTAATTTTGTAGCATCATAATTCTGTCCTCAAGGAATGAGTTGGGAAGCATTTCCCCCTTCTTAGTTTCCTGCAGGAGTTTGTACAGAATGTGTTTTAATCTTTTCTCTTAAATTAGTGTTAAAATTTACTAAGAAGTTATCTGGGTCTGGAGTGAGTTTTTTCCCCTTTCTGATGGAAACATTTTTAACTACAAATTCTATTTCTTATAGGCCCTATATGGATTTAATCCATATGGGACCACTTAGATTACTCATTTCTTCTTAAGAAGCTTTGGTAGTTTGTCATTCAAGGAATTTTGATCATTGTTTTTATTTTTATGTCTAAAGTTGGAATAATATAGGAATTTAAGAATTAACTGAATTGGTTTGTTAAATTATATAAATTTTAACAAACTTGCAGTAAAAACAGCAAATTTTTTTCTAACTTAAAAAAGGAATACGTAAAACTTAGTGGTTTTTTCTTATGGAGGAAATGCTGTTGGTTGTTTCTTAAGCTTTGTGTCCTACAGTTGACTTGAGGGAGACATTGTTCTTAAGACACTAAAGTAATTTATTTTCATTTATTTTAGCAACTTACAGACAATTCGACTGTCTGGAACCTATAAACATTTTGTTGTTGTTGTTTTCATGACAAGGTCTCACTTTGTCACCCAGGCTGGAGTGCAGTGGCACAATCATAGCTCACTGGAACTCGAGCTCACTGGCTCAAGCAGTCCTTTCGCCTCAGCCTCCCAAGTAGCTAGGACTATAGTTGCATGTCACCACATCTGGCTAATTTAAATTGTGTGTGTGTGTGGAAAGAAAGGTCTCACTGTGCTGCCCAGGCTGGTCTTGAACTTTTGGGCTCAAGCAACATACCTCTTGGCCTCTCAAAGTGCTGGGATTATAAGTGTGAGCTACCTCGCCTGGCCCATGAAGATTTCTGATAGGTAATTCTGACCATGTTTTTGCAAACTAACTTGGGAGACCATGTGGCCAGTGTGAATATCTTTATCTAGGATTGCAGAACAGAATTTATAGTTGTGTGAATCCTGAGTATATATTAATTATTATTTGTATACAAATGTAAAATTGCAATTTTTTTTTTTTTTTGAGATGGAGTCTTGCTGTTGTCGCCCAGGCTGGAGTGCAGTGGTGTGATCTTGGCTCACTGCAACCTCCACCTCCCGGTTTCAGCAATTCTCCTGCCTCAGCCTCTGGAGTAGCTGAGATTATAGGCACCTGCCACTACACCTGGCTGATTTTTGTATTTTTGGCAGAGATGGGGTTTCACCAAAATTGCAAATTATTTGTAATAAATTATTTGTTAGTTGAGCAGTTCTCCCCCATTATATATTGTACAGCTTTGTGAAATGAACTTTATTGATAGTTTAAGTTCACAGAAGAATCCTTGTTTCCAAAGCCCAATTGGAATAAGCTTTCTTATCCACTTAGGCTTACTTAGTAGTGCCAGAATTGAGTCAGAGTCTGTGTGGTAGATTTGGTCCCAGTTCTTTTTCTGCTTCCTATATCAAATTTTCCATATGGCTTTGAAGTATATATATCTACCCTCCTGTGGACTTTGAGTATAGTGTGGTAACCTATCTTGACCAAATAGAATAAGGCTGGAGTGATAGCTAGTATGCTATTTTCAAAACTGTGCTTTAACAAGAGGCATTGAGTGTTTCTGCTTGCCCTCTTGCTTTTCTGTCATTGTCATGAGAAATATACCCAGAAAAAGAATGAAAAGTCTGGAACTAATCCACCCCTAGCTGCCAACTGTAGACATGTGCCATGTATTATCAGTACCCCAAAAGTTCCCCTTGTACTCCTTTCAATCACTACCACCCTCCAATGGTGGCTTCCTGACTTATGAATCACAAATTACATTTTGCCCTCTTCCCTTTCATATCCCCAGTGCTTGGCAGAAATTTTGATGGAAGATTAGCCTTGTGCTAGAGGCTGCCCAGATCTACCAAAAGCCATCTTAGTTTTGTACACTATCTTATGAAGAAAAAATAACTTTTTTTGACAGTAAACTGAGTTTAGTTTATAGAAATTACTAGAATCACCTTACAGTAAATTCCTAAAGTCTCAGCATTTTTAGCCTGTTGTTGTACCTCTTCTTTGAGAATAATTAGGAATTTGAATTATAACTATGAATTCTTGTAAGCCATCAAATAGGCATGACATTCTTTATTCTAAAATACTTAGCTTTCCAAGGCAAGAGAGAAGACTTAGACTTTTTATTAAGACTACTAATGAATGCGTAAATAAAAAAAGACCTTGGTTATATATCAATTAACCAGAATTTCTATTTTCTCTTTAGGTTTAACTTTCTACTACTTCAGTGTAACCTTGTACAAAAGCATTCTGTGTAGAGTACCTGCTTTTTTAAACTGCTTTACTTCTTACAGAGCAAGCCATCTGCTTTCTAAGGCATTGAGGCAAGAAACACCGACTCAGTGAAAAGCATACTGTGAAGCTGTGTAGTACAGTGGCGAAAGAAAGTACAAAATGTGCTTAGATTCATGCAAGTATATATTCCTTTTTAGCTTCATGAACTTGGTCAAATTATTTTTTTAAGCCACAGTTTATCCCTTTGTGGTCTGTGGATATGTAACAGCTTCGACCTTATACAGTTGAGACTATATGCTATAACAAGTGCATGTAAAGGCTTAGCACAGTGCCCGGTGCAGAGTAAGCACTCAGAAAGAGCTCCTTGACATTATCATCATCATCATTATTACTTTTACTGTTACATATGTTACTGTGAATAGGAAAATCTAAGCAATTTTTGAAGGCCTTACTGAGTGAAAAAAAAAATACTTATTCTTCCTCCATGTTCTATACATTTTAAAGTTTAATATTCTTTAGTAGATTATTGCTAAGACCTTGAAACACTCTTTTTTCTCTTCAAATCTCTGTTAATCTTCAAGTTAAAATTTTCTGTTTATATGCATTCTTGAAAGTATTTGAATTCATTTTTTATTATGGTATCAGTTACCACAAAGTTAGTGGTTTAACATAAAAGAAATTCTTATCTTACAGTTCTGGAAGTCAAAAATCCAAAATCAATCGCAATGAGTTAAAATCAAGGTGTCAGCAAGGCTGTTACCCTTTTGGAGGCCCTAGGCAGAAATTCCTTTCTGTCTTCTTAAGCTGCCCATATTCCTTGGCTCCTGGCTCTGTATTACTTCAACATCTAATATCATCACATCTCCTTTTCTGACTCTCTTTTTCTTCTCTATTATAAGGACTGCTGTGATTGCATTGGGTTTACCAAGATGATCTTCTCATTCCTAATTTAATGACATCTGCAAAGTCCCTTTTGCCAAGTAATGTAACATATTTGCAGATTTTGGGGATTAGGATGTAGACAACTGTGGGTATACTGTTATTCTGCTTACCTACCACATTCTGCCTTCTGGCCCTCAGAGATTTATGTCTGTTCCACATGCAAAATATATTCACCCCATCCCAACATTCCTAAAGTCTAACCCCATTACAGCATCATTTCAAAATCCAAAATATCTTTTAAATCTTATCAGCTCAAAAGTTTCGAACCTCATGAACTCAGTCATCTAGATTAGGCATGGGTGAGAGGCAGAGAATGATCTTTCCTAAGGTACAATTCCTATCTATCTGTGAAGTTCTGAAATTCAAACAAGTTATTTGCTCCCAAAATGGTGGGGCAAGGATAGAATAGCAATTATAAACATAACCGTTCAAAAAGGGAGAAAATGAAAGGAGAAATGGAGTTACCTGTTCTAGTCAGTTTCATAATCCAGCCTGGGAAAAAAATTCTCTGTGATTTGAGGCTCCACCCTTGTGGGCTCAGGGCTCTGCCCTTTAGATCATCCTTCCTTTTTTCTGAAAGGTGGCACATGTTTGTGGCCAAGCAGTTTCATCTGCTTGTTTCCTGACTGTGGTATTTTGGGAGTCTGAGAGTCTTTTTTGAAATTTTATTTAAAATTTTGTCTTCTCTTTGTCCCTTTCAATTTAAGCTGGCAGAGTTTCTGGTTATGTAATGTTCTGAAACATCTTGTGGGACTGAGTACAATGGCTTCATGTCTGTAATCCCAGTGCTTTGGGAGGCCAAGGTGGGAAGATCACTTGAGGCCAGGAGTTTGAGGCCAGCTTGGGCAACATAGTGAGACTCTGTGTCTACAAAAAAAAAAAAAAAAATTTTTTTAAAGAACCTTGTAGATTTTCTTTGTATGTTGGGGATTTTTGTTGTTGTTGTTGTTGTTGTTGTTGTTGATAAGAGGCTCTTCCATAAATCTTTTCTGGATGATCTAATCTCTGTATGTGACTTCTGCCTCCATGGCTGATGGAGTCTATGAGTCACATGCCTTATCTTTTCTGAAAACCCTCCATGTGACTGAACCTTTCAAGACACTATTGTGTTTCCTCCTATTTCTCAAAGTCACATTATAAAAATAAATATATTAAATACTATCTATTTGGGGGGGAAAAGACAGTCAATGTTTGCAATCAGAAAAGTTGGTGAAAAAATGTTTTCCAATTTAGTGCATAAAGGAGAAAAAATGTTCTTGAAGTTTGCAGCACTGAAGAGTGTTGGTACATAAAAAAATAAGAAAATGTTCTTGAAGTTGAAGTACTAACAGGTGTTTCCAAAAAATAATTGATGTGATACAGTCTTATTTTTCTATTAAACCAGGCGTCCCCAGATTACAGCCCGCGGGCCTCATGCGGCCCCCTGAGGCCATTTATCCGGCCCCCCACCACACTTCAGGAAGGGGCACCTCTTTCACTGGTGGTCAGTGAGAGGAGCACAGTATGTGGCGGCCCTCCAACGGTCTGAGGGACAGTGAACTGGCCCCCTGTGTAAAAAGTTTGGGGATGCCTGTATTAAACTGTCACAACAGCCTCCCCCCAAATTGTATAATAAACATTGATTACTAAAGAGTAATTTACTACTTCAAGATTCTGATATAAATGTTGTCAGAATTAAAATTAAGTCACTTGTGTTGGGAAAAAAAAAAAAAAAAAAAAGCAACCAACAAATGGAGCCAGGGAAGGCTATGAAGAGAAAGGTTCTCATGCATAAATTCCTGATAACAAAAATGATGACAAAAGACTACAAAAATTACAACTTCTTGGGAGCTGCAAAGGTTGCTCTGTCTTTGTCTGAGTATTAATCTGTATACTTATGGAATGAAATGCCTGTGACCAGTGAAAAAAACACTGGAAAACAGAAGGCTGAACAACTGCCAGAGTTTACACAGGGCCAAAACCAGGTAGCACTGTCATCTGCCAGAATACAAAAACTATGTAATACACAAGATATTTGATAGGGTCCTCATATCTTAGTAATGGGGCTAAATTAGCCCCAGGAAAAATAAAGGTTGACCTGGACACATCCTAATAAAGCTTTAATACACAACTCACATTAATTCCAAATAATTGTGTGAACAGAGACTAAAACTTGGCAATCCTGGGCAAAAAGAGCAAAGCCAGAGGCATCACACTACCTGACTTCAAACTATTCTACAAGGCTATAGTAACCAAAATAGCTCTCTGTGCAGCTTTCTCCTCTCTATTACTCTGCCCTGCGAAGTCTAGCTAGCATCCTTAGCTTCCATGCATGCCAGTCTCTCTGCATAACTCAGCAAGACCACCAGGTTCCATTAGTATTCCCTCACTGTGCTGTGGTCTGGCATCTATCTGCCTTTAAGCAGCAAGCTGGGATGATTGTAGGAGTCACCCAATTTTTTTTTACCTTTTGTCTGGCAGCGTATCTTCCACTGTTCTTTGTCCAACATCTGAAACTGTTGTTTCATACTTTTTTTTTTTTCATTTTTCTAGTTGTTTATAGCATTAGGACAATTCTTGTCCCAATTTATTCATCTTGGGTGGAAGGAGAAGCTCCTGAAAAAACAGTATGGTCATGATTACCAGAGAGTTTCTTTTGTTTGTTTTTAGGGCAGGTTGAATAAAATTCTAGATTTAATTAACAAGATGAATTAGAAAAGTAGCCTATAAAATTAGGAGTTACACTTTTCTTTACATTTTTAACAGACATCCAACTTAGAGATTTACTATGACTTGTGTGGTTCATTCTGTTCACTACCAGAATCTTCCAAGATTCTTATCAGTTACTGAACTTTTTCAGCTTCCCTAGTTATGGTTGTGTTTTATTCTGAGAACCTACCCCTAGTACTTAGTTTCCCTTATTCTCATATTTTAAAGTACTTATTTCAGAAGTGGGTTGGGAATTTTTGAAAACACTTTTTTGAGACAGAGTCTTGCTCTTGTCCCCCAGGCCAGAGTGCAATGGCACAATCTCAGCTCGCTGCAACCTCCACCTCCCAGCTTTAAGCGATTATCCTGCCTCAGCCTCCTGAGAATACTTTTTGTTTTTTTAAACAAAGACAACTTATATGTAGCTAGTCAAGTCACGGCACTCCCTCTTAATTTTCTCTTGAAGATTACCTAGATTGTAGCAGGATAGGAATAGCATTTAATACTATTCCTAGGTTTTTCCAAGTATTAATGCCAATGTCTTTGTTTGCTGTGTCTAGAAGTATAGTTTTCTCCTTCCTGATCATACAGTTCTTAAGGAGGCAGGGTCCGATTTGTCGTCCTTTAATTTTCTGTATGTTTCCATACTTTAACTTGATTCAAACATGTCTATCTGCCTTCCCCAATACCATCTCTCAGCTGGCAATTTGGTCTGGCTCTTTAACTAAAGCATCTAGTTGATATGCTGATTTTTTGCAGCAATAGATTTTATATTTGGATATTCCTGTATCATCATGGAAAATTATTTCTGAAGAATCCATCATATTAAACATGCTTTCTGATTCAGTTATTGAAAAGTTTGTTTACATTTTGCCACAGGGGCTTGTATGGCTTCATTGTGGGATCCTTTTTTTGGTTGATTCTGACTTACTTGGCTGGCCTGTGAATGCCATTCTGAATTGATTACATTTAAAAATGTTTATATTTGGACGTGGACAGATATTTTTTTCTTCCTTTTATGAGTACCTTTTTAAAAATTAAAAAAACTTTTTAACTTAACGGAAGTCTAAAGAAGGTGGACCATCTCGTGTTTAATGGGGAACACAAGTGTTGAGTTAATGAACACATGAGCATATTCAAGTTTTGTTTTTCTGATTACTTAGTTTAGAATTTTTTTTTCATAATTGGGATTATTTGGGAGACATTTTACATACTGCCTTGAGAAGAGTCTTGTTGCCTTTTGTTGGTAAAGTATTGCAATAGGTAAAGTTTGCAAGGTATTGCAATGTATTGATATAACTTAATATTGTATATAGTATTCCTCCATGTCAAGAAGTATTGAAGATGCTTATGATTGATTTTTTTCCTTTTTCTTACTTTTCACTTCTTGACTTCATGAGTCAAAGAAGAAATTCAGACTGAAATTAGAGAGTATTTTAAATTAAATGAAAATGAAAAAACAACACAACCTATTAAAATTACTTAGATGTGTCTAAAGTAGTACTTAAAGGGAAATTTTAGCACTGAAAACCTATATTAGGACAGAAAAAATGTCTCAAATCCGTAAAATCAGCTTTCACTGTAAACAGCTAAAAGCAAAACAAATGAAACCAGAAGTTTACAGAAGAATTATAATAAAGATCATGAAGAAAATCAATAACACAGACAACAGAAAAACAATAAAACAATGAAGCCAACCTACCTGTTTGAGAAGATAGTAACATTGTTAAAATTCTAGTCATATAAATCAGTCAAAAGAAGAAGACAGATTACCAAATCAGGAATGACGGAGGTCTCATCTCTACAGATTCTACAAATATTTTTTAAAAAAGGATTATTATAAGTAACTTTATACATATAAGCTTTACAATTTACATGAAAGTGATAAATAGTTAAGTTGAATATCTGTATATCATTAAAGAAATTGTATTTGTAGTTAAAAACCAGTGAATGAGGGTAAAGAAAAGAACATTCTGGACCAAGGGACATATCCCAAGATACACAGAAATACCAAGCATAGAGCTACACTCTATAATGTGGTGGCCACTGACTACATGTGACAATTTAAATTAAATATAATACAGTATAATAAATTTTGTATTTGTCACACTTGCCACATTTTAAGTTATCAATTACGTACATGTGACTGGTATTATGTAGAACATTCACATCACCAAAATTCTATTGGAGAGCCATCATAATGTATTTAGGAAACTTCAGGAGTTCTGATTTGATGAGAGTATTGGTTGTAGTATTGAGATGGAAGTCTCAAAGGCAAGTTGGAAGGGAATTATGTTCAAAGGGCAAACTGAGTCCAAACCATTGAGTGCCTTCAATGGCAATGGTGTTTGGATTTACCCTATGGGACACCAGCTAGGGTGGAGAGGTGGGTGTTTGGTTTTGATTAGTGAAGGTAGATGCTGGTAAGTTGATCTGATTTGTGTTTTAATCTTTCTGGCAGCAAGATAAAAGGTAGATTGGAGGGGTGAAATCAATATTCATGAGCTCACTGTCTAGCAGACAAGTAGTCCAGATGAGAACTGATGGTAAGGACTGAGCTATAATGAGGCAATGAGCATATAAGGAAGAAGACATTTGACTGCTATTTAGAAGGAAAAAAGATGGGAAATTTTGGTGTGGGAGCTAACAGAATCTGAATGACCCTGATTTCTGGATTAAGCGTATAGAGAAGATAGGACTTATGTGGCTATGTGGGGAAAAGCAGACTCTGAAAAGAAAAAGCGAGTATGGCTATAACTTTGGCCACATTAACTTGAAAGATAGGCCCAATGTAATTAAGAGTCTGGAATTGATAAAACTCAGGATGAGATATGTGCTTTTGGGAGTCACCAGAATATAGCTGGCTTTTTGAAGCTTTGAGTTTGAATAAGATTATACAGAGAACATACAGCATGTAGAGATCAAAGCCAAGGATACATCCCAATATTTATTAGGTGTAGAAAGATAGGGCCTTAAAATAAGAATGAAAATGAGTAACTAGAGAAAAAAAAATAAAGAGTGGTTCTCAAAAGAGCCCAAGGAAGATAACATTTCAAGGAGGGTTGCTGTTCCAGAGAAGTCATATAAGAGAACCATAAGCATATATTGGATTCGTTGAACAGGAAGTCATCTGGGACCTTTCAGAACTGTAATATTCTGAAACCAAGCAAATTCAGACCTTTACATTGAGCTGAATTTGTAAAGGGTCATTGGGAGTACCCTTTGGGAGAACTGATATGGCCTTCAGACATGTAAGTTATACTTGTTTCATTTGTAAAATGATAATACACTATGGTATTTTATTATAAAGATTGTGTATGGCAATATGAGAAAAAGCATTTTGTAAACTCTAACATTTTTTCGAAGTTTACAGAATTATGATTAGTTTTTGGTGAAATCTATATATAATTTAAGGTAAGGAAATGGAAGGGAGGATTTTAGATAAAAACAGAAGACAATAAAGATATATGATGATGGAATACCAGGGATTCTAGGGACCCACTGGAATTACATGAACAGTGGAGATATGAGCCAAGAAAGTAGAAGGGCTGAGCTGACTGAGTAAAAGAAACAGAATGTTGGTGTTTTGCAGATCATGAATTGAGTACCTTCTTCCTGGGCAGATCTAGAATACACTAAACAAATTTGGAGCCTTTTCTTTTTCTTTTTTTATACAGTACAAACAGATCATTGTTGAAACTAATTACAGTAGTTACATTTTAGCCTTCTTCAAAAAATTTTGTTTTTTGGTTTTATTTTTTGAGATAGGATCATGCTCTGTTGCCCAGGCTGGAGTGCAGTGGTGCCATCAATGGCTCACTGCAGCCTCAACCT